CGGCTTGTTAACCCAAGTTCTGGTATGCCTCTTCGACTAGTCAGACTCACCAAATGTATCCCAGTACCCGAGATGACTGGCAATATTCAATAGAGGAGATATGTCATCATATTCCAGAACGTTTCCACCACCAAAAGAGGCAACATCCATCGCCTGGTCGGCCAGACCACCGAAAGTGAAAGCTGTTGCAGCTCCCGTGAGCTGTAAAGTCTGCGTAAATATCGAGCAAGCAGAGCCACAATTACCATCCGTCACAAAAGCGACCTCCGTGCAATACTTCGGGTCATAACTCGACCCTTTGACAATTCCGGGTAGAGCATTCTACAATACGTCATAGCAGAAACCGGAAGCACTAGTAGCGGAGTACTTTGAAGGCTCGCCCCACATCGAATAGTATTCGAGTCACATCGTTCTCCCGAGCGAAGTCTTGAACTTCGGAAAACTTTTCGTACAGAACGACCGGCAGTACAAAAGAACCATCACCGGTAACGAAGTCCGGTACGCTCACCATCACGGTGTCATCCAGTAATGAATATTGGTAGCCGGTTCCAGAGATCCACTTTCCTTCTCCTTGCAAAGTCTTTGACGACAAGAGAGCAGCATCACCATCATCATACTGTATGATGATGGTGGTCCTGCTCTCTGTATGATTCATACACATTACGACTACTATCCGCTCGAGCCACAATGTCGTCCAAGGCTTGGACTCCAAGCCAGCACCTTGGCTATAAGGTTGCAAGTGGCAAAATGTTCTCATCGTATGGTAGTGGTCGAGGGTCTCAAATACCGAACCAACCCGAAAGCTATGCTCAAGAAAGCAAAGGGTTCTGTAGTAGTCTCTTTAGCCGAGAGTTTGATTCTTTAGAGCTCAATATTGAGCATACAGGCTTGATGAGATTGATATCAAGAAGAGTCATGATGTCTGTGCAATCGTGGGAATCAGCCGTTCCAGAGTCCTTATATAAGGAAGTATTGGGTTGGGTGTCGATGGTGAGTGACCCCTATAATACGATCTCCAGGGAAAGGTTTTGTGATCCCTCAGAAGTGTACTGCTTTGTGGATGCTAGTGAAGTTCTGTGGGCTATAGACGTTCGCTGTGAAGGAGCTCGCTCTGTCATGCCACATGTACGGTTGGTAGGAAGTGTTGGTGTTCATCAACTAACATCTAGATCAATTCCCGCGAAAGAGCTTGATAGCTTGTATCGTGCAGTCAAGCTAATGAAGAAGGTCATGTCTGATTGTGTCTCGGGGAGTGAGGCTAGGATCAAGAAGGTTACGTTCTTTGCCGACTCGGAGATTACTATACATAGACTGAGAGCATGGAGATCTGGTAGGATTCAACGGCTTGACTTGGGTACTTTTGAACGGAATCGTATCCGTAATATAGCCGACTTCCTCAACAAAACTGGTTTCGTGGTAAATCATAGCCGGGCTCTGCAGTTATGGATGTGACTGATATTGACCTTGGACTGAAGAAGGGATTATTGCGCTCTACGTTGCAATATATTCCAGAGGTTACACCAGAATCTTCTAGCGTTGCAGTCGAATCTCCCGAGATAGAGAGACTAAGCTGTTTCAGCTATGATCTGGTAGTAAGGAATGATGATATTCTACGGGGAAAAGTATGTTCTTCCCGAGGTAGTGATCAGTGGATACAAGGTATGAAGGCCAAGATCAAGGATGGTGCTGTTATGAACACCCCGGGAACTAGGGGATTTTGTATTGATGAGGTGACAGGATTACCCTGTATTACAGAGTCTGTAAAAGGACCCTCAATTGGAATGTAGTGGATGATAAAGAGACGGTTGACCTAGGTGGACTTAAATATGTTGTTCCTGATGCTGATGTGTTTATTCAAGATGAAATTATTAAGAAGTTACATGTTTATGGTGGTCTACCGCAGAATATCCGAAGGTTATGTTCACAATTTTATTTTAAGTACATGAAGGTGAAGTGTAAGAAGTATCTCAGAGAGTGTGAGATATGTGAGAGACTTCGCACACATCAAGGAGCTCGAAAAGCGATAGCTGCGTTGCCTAGTTGGCAAACTAATTGGCAGCCGTGGGAGTGTGTATCGTTGGATATCGTTGGCCAACTATGTCCCAGTTGTGAAGACGATCAGCACAAGGAGGAGAATCCAGGAGGGCTAAGGTATTTTCTGAGCTTTGTCGATTCTGCTACTAAGTTTATGATAAATGTCCTTATAGCTAATCGATTGGTGAGTTCTTTGGTGGCCGCGGTGAATGAGGTGTTTGGGCATCGTGAACAAATTCCTAAATGTCTCATAACAGATAGAGAGAGTGGATTTCTGAGCAAGGCCTTTCAGTCTTACTTATTGACTTTGCCTTTTACGATACATCATGTTACTGGTGTTCCTCACAAGGCTGCCATGCAGGTCACTATGATAGATTGCACTCGCATGTCAACAAGTTCCTGACAGGAGCGCTGCTTGCTTCTGGTGAGAGTGTTTATTGTTGGCATCGTCATTCAGCTGAAGCTACTCGGTTGCATAATGTTATGCCCTTTGATCAGGATGTGGACCTATCTCCTATGGATATGTTCAGAGCGTATGCTCCTCGCAGACTGTTGAATAATCTAGGCAAGGATGAGATCGTAGACAAACTGCATATGATTCCACCTGATGTGCCTTCGGTGATTCAGGATTTTGCTACTCAGGTTAAGAGCAACCAGGAAGTGAAGTATCGGGAGTATAGAAGGTTATGGGAGTTACGACGAAGTGAGTCATTTGAGAAGGTGCTTGGTAAAATTCAACAGCATCGAGAATTTAGTTTGGGAGATATTGTATACCGATGGAGGCCTGCAGAGTCTAAGTTGTGTCCGTCCTGGGATGGTCCATGGGAGATTGTGCGTTTCCTGGGCAAGACGAGGGTTATATTAAGATTATTGAAGGATACTCGAATTGAGGGTTATGAAAGTGTCAACAACTTGAAGAAAGCCTCTAGAGATGGTAGTGAAGTTGATGCTATGGTCGACTATTGGATGGAATGTTCTAGGTGTGGTAAGTGGAGAATGACCACTAAGGAGGATTGTGAAAAGTATGCGGCAGTTGACGATGTATGTTGTCAAGATTTACATTCGTCATGTGAGGCCCCGTGTGATTGGACTATGCTTCAAGTTGTAGGAGATAATGAACAAGGGGATTGGTCTGTATCTCAGGTTGGAGCATTGCCGAAACCTTCTAAGATTCAAGTAAACAACTATTCAACTATTCTAAGTAAATCCATGATCGGTCATGGAGTGCTGATAGTGTCTGGTCTATCCAATGATGAGGTGGGATCTTCTCTTACTCACATTTTGGGAGTTGTTGAAGAAGTTGACGAATGTCAATTCTCAGCGGTTATCAATACCGGTGATGATCTTGTTACTGCTCTGATATCACCCCAGATGTGAGTTAAATTGGTGAGCATGAGCTCGCTAGCCAAGACTAGGTAAGATTCTGGGACAGCGAATACTATATAGCCTGTATAACTTATATGTATACAGTATAGATTGCGGGTCTATGTGTAT